GTATTATTATATATGATATTACCAATTTACTTTTTGTTTATTTACTAAAAATCTCAACATAATGTTAACAACACATGTTACCATGTTCCAAATCTAAGACAAATATGAAGACCACAAGAACCTTTTTACAAAATCTTCAGAAATTGCTATTCAAAAATAAAAGTACTTTCACAACATTTATCCCATATATCTACATCATTAAGTAAATGTCATTCATATGTACATCATGTATATGATTTCTGCATTGACGGCTTTCGATGGGTCATTTAAATTAATCAAAATGTCATATCCTTTAGATAATGGTTTAAAGGATATTTTCAGATGTTGTCAAAAACATGTCTTTAGTCCTTTGTAGCAATATCATGGGAAATAAAATATGTACCCTATATACAATAGTGAAGTTTATAACAAAATCCTTTAATGAAAGCGATTATTACTGTTTTTATATTCTGACATGAATTTAAGCTGTTTAGATAATATGACCAACATATTTACTTTAGACAGAAAGGCGTGGTTTTCTGTAAGTCAGGAATATGACAGTTGTTGTTCACTCGTTTCGTTGGTTGCTCAAGTTTAATTTTGTCAGTTTTTATGTATGTTGGCGTTTGTTTTTGTTGCACTTCAGTGTTCCTGTTGTTCCTTTGTTTCCCTCTGTTTTTGTTTGTTACCCGGATTTGTTTTCTCTCAATCGATTTATGACTTTTGAACACCGGTATCCTACTGTTGCCTTTATTTATGAACTTCCCCTTTTGGAAATACCTTGGAATTCTGTATTTTTTTGTTTTGTTTTACCGATTTTATACAGCTACCATTGTATAATATATTTTCCATTCTTGTACAGATAAAGATGGACAAGCCTTTCGAATATCAAATATCAAAAAGATGACATCAGAATTGATCAATAAATCATATTAGCTCAAATGATGCTTTAGCACCCTATCTCACAAAAATTCGACCAGAACATGGTCAGTTTTTGTCTATAAATCAGTGTCTATAAATCAGGCGAAGACACTTTACCCTTAAATTAATCTGCTAATCAAGAGATGACTGCTGTATAAAAAGAAACAGACAAGTTGATGGCAAAAGATATGTTGTGTATGCTGGCTGCTATATTTGAAATTAACTTCTTTTTAGAATGTGATTTAAATTCTAGAGTAAAAAGGTGTAACAAAAAAAAAAGAACTCCAATGTAAATATAAAGCGGGGGAAGTCCATAAAAACTGACAAAATCAAACGTGAGTCAACTGAACGAATGGAAAACATCCGTCATATTCCTGACTTGGTACAGGTCATTCCGAAGAAAATGGTGGATTAAACCTGGTTTTAGAGTTACCTAAACCTCCAATTTGTATGACATGTGATATATAATGTTATACTGACAATATTAGGTAAGCAACCCTAACAAACATAGTAGGTTAATGTGACAATAATTGGGATCAGCCGCCAAAACTGTGTAAACATACATCACAGACATACACCACAACTGACTAAAAAATTCAAACAAACATACAAATAAATCTAAAAAGTTTATGTAATTGATAGTTAATTTGACAAAGACGCCAATAAAAAGAGAAACAATCATAAGAGAAAGATGCCTAAATATAAAAAAGATATCAGACAACCAATAATAAAAGAACAGAGAAGGAAAAGGAAGTCCAATGCAAGTTTAAAACGGTCAACATTCACAATAATTCAACATTTTATGTGCTAATAATATAACTATCTCAAATCGCCAACTAAATCATAGATCTGATGTCGTATTCTGCTTGCTTTATGGCATGAATATTTCTCCTTACGGTGATCTCAAAATGTATGGCATTTGATATGCTGCAATAGTCTTTTTGCCAAATACAGATTTGATTCTTTTATTACATATTGTATTCAACACAACTTGTTTTCTTTACCTATTGTAAACTGTTTTTAAGGGGACATTACATCCCGCCATTGTGCTATTGTGCTCTGGTCATTTGTGTATTCTTGTCTTTCTTTTTTGCTTATGTGCTTTGTCTATAGAGTGTCTATATGCCACTTTGTTTTCTTTGTTGAAATTGTTACTTGTTTTATAGGGGTTAAAAATATGTTGAAAGTAATATATTATGTGTTAACCAGTTTATACAGAAACATAGTTCTCGAGATCACAAGTTTTTCCCTACTTGAAAGAATATATGCATTTTAAAGATTTCAAAACTTACAAATTACATGCATTACGACGGTCAACAAAATTTGCCCCATCCGCTTGCTCCTCATTAGCTTAGCAATGAAAAATTATGTTCCCGTAAAGGAAATAACCCAAACAAATTGATATCGAATTATAAGAGAGAGGCGAGGGATACCAAAGGGACATTCAAACGCACAAGTTGAAATAAAACTGACAACGCCATGACTAAAAGAAAAAAAGACAAACAAACAACAGTACACAAAACACAATTTATAGAAAACTAAAGACTGAGCAACACGAACCCCACCAAAAACTGAGGGGGTCTCAGGTGCTCCGGAAGGGTAAGAAGATCCTGCTCCACATGTGGTACCCGTCGTGTTGCTCACGTTAGTACAAACCCGGAGATTAGGATTGTTAGTCCTGTGGTATATTTTTTTCGATGATGTGTACTTGCATAGAAAGGATTGAATGTTCAGCCTGATTGAAATGCTGGTAAACAATGTCGCTTGCATTGTTGTTGATGTCTGATCTATGGCCGCACATACGTTTATTAAGCCTTCCTTTCGTTTCACCGACATATACCAATCCGCAAAGGTTACACTCTAATCCGTAAATGAGATTTGTTGATTTACAATTCAGATCATCGTAGTTTCTGGTAAAGTAAGTTTTTTTTAGTTAAATTGCTATTGAATTGAGCATCCATTATTAAATTTTACAGGTTTTTCAGTTTTTGGTTTTAATTTCGAACTGAGACAGTGTGGTTTAGAGTCATTGAAGTCAAAAATATCTTTTAGGAGAACAGAACACAGCCGCGTACGAATATTATTGCTGTTGTCATTAATATGATGATCTGAGTGTTTCATATTTGAGATATTTGTCATGTCAGGTGATGAGGGGACACCTGCCGTATCAGACGATACCGTGTCCATGTTGACGTCTTTTTTGGACCTTTTTATACAGGGCGACGTCAGAGCCAGAATTCTATTTGATCTTCGTATGTTCATGCATATTATGATGTCCTCGGGGACAAAATGTCCTCGGGGACAAAATGTCCCCCAGCAGAGACATCGACCCAGTTGTAGTTAAAGAGAGGTGAAGGATACCAAAGGGACATTCAAACTTATAAGTCGAAAATAAACTGATAACGCCATGACTAAAAAGAAAAAGACAAACAAACAACAGTACACAAAACACAACATAGAAAACCACAAACCCCACCAAAAACTGGGGGTGATCTCAGGTAATCCAGAAGGGTGAGCAGATCCAGCTCCACATGTGGCACCCGTCGTGTTGCTCATGTTAGTACAAACCCGGTGATAAGTCTAATTCGGTAGGACACATTCGGAGAAAAGAGGACGGAATTGTAGTCTGGAACATATCCGTTGTCATCTGTGAAACGGATATTCCTTAACGGTCAACCAACTCGTGATGGCGTCAATAAAAGTTACGAAGGGACGATTTCATCTTCACCACTTGGAACTCTTGGTTTAATAGCTTCCTTGTGAGCAGCAACCCTCTATCAAAGAAGTCATGATAAGAAAAACAAGCCCTGGAATATCGTATCAACTGGGAGATATATACTCTGTATGCAGGTGCTGCTGGAATGTTGATGCTGGAATGTTGCTACATAGAAATGGGAAGTTCACAATTGGAAAGCTGAAATCATCTCTTTTGTCATACAATTTTGTTTTCAACCGACCAGCATTGTCAATTTCTAGATGTAAGTCAAGATATGATGCCGACTTAACTGTATCTGTTGTATCCTTTAAGTTCGAAGGGATAGATGCGTTCAACATAGTCACCAAATTTTGAATTATATAGTGAGATAACATCATCTATATACCAGAAAGTGAGGTTAAAGGATTCTGCTAACATCTTTTTTTTCTTCCTAAGAAGTTCCTGTATGAAGTCAGCCTCATATGAATAAAAGAAAAAGTCGGCAAGAAGAGGAGTAAAGTTGGTTCCCATGGGAATGCCGATTGTTTGTTGAAAAACACGTCCTCCAAATGTGACAAATATGTTGTCAATCAAATATAGAGTTAATTACGGAAATGTGTAACTATATTTATCACGGTTGTGACATATTCACAGCTAATCATTCTTTTATAATATTTTTTTAGGAGAAATAAACTACCCATATATTTTCCATTTTTTTATGTTACAACAAAGTCAGAAGGAAGAAATCATATGAAGTGTAGGAAAACGGATCCAATGGTTTTATCTTCCAAGGTTAACAGTTAAACATTGTAACATTCTACTATAATACTATTTTATAACAGTTATGTGCATGAAGATGAAGCTTACATTAATTTTTAAAAATGATTATGAGAAACAGGAAAAAACAAAAACAAAAAAATAACAGAGACTGCACCTTTCAAGGAAAGATACATTCGGTGCATTTCAATGCTGAAACAGATTAGGATTATCGAGAATTAATCATGCTCTATCGTCCATGTAAAAAGGAAAATCAACTGCAAAAGTCATGTCAAGTTTTCAGGAGATACATGCAAGCGTAAGATGATATAAGAAAGGAAAGAAAAGCATATAAACCATTTCGAAATGTTGTTGAAGAAGCATAGATAAGGTATTGACATAGATTTCGAGGCTGCATTGGATGAAGTAGCACCAAGTACAGCATATAAGAATACATAAGATATTGGCAAAAAATCTACACCAAAAAATCAAGTTATTTAAAATTATGATACTTTATTTGAAATTTGATTACCACAATCAACTATCACAATCAACTGTAGAAGAGGAGTTGAAAAAATTGTATGTATTGCCAGATCAATAGTTCAAGCAATATATGCGTAGAGAAACAAACAGTTGCTTGCGTGAATGTATGTATGTTATTATTCATAGCTTAAAAACCACCACAGAACCAATATATATATTGCATAATGGAGGAGCAGGTGTAAGGAAGAGTTATGTGAGGAATAGATTGCATAGTGGAGGAGCAGGTGTAGGGAAGAGTTATGTGAGGAATACATTGCATAGTGGAGGAGCAGGTGTAGGGAAGAGTTATGTGAGGAATACATTGCATAGTGGAGGAGCAGGTGTAGGGAAGAGTTATGTGAGGAATAGATTGCATAATGGAGGAGCAGGTGTAGGGAAGAGTTATGTGAGGAATAGATTGCATAGTGGAGGAGCAGGTGTAGGGAAGAGTTATGTGAGGAATACATTGCATAGTGGAGGAGCAGGTGTAGGGAAGAGTTATGTGAGGAATAGATTGCATAATGGAGGAGCAGGTGTAGGGAAGAGTTATGTGAGGAATAGATTGCATAGTGGAGGAGCCGGTGTAGGGAAGAGTTATGTGAGGAATAGATTGCATAGTGGAGGAGCAGGTGTAGGGAAGAGTTATGTGAGGAATACATTGCATAGTAGAGGAGCAGGTGTAGGGAAGAGTTATGTGAGGAATAGATTGCATAATGGAGGAGCAGGTGTAGGGAAGCGTTATGTGAGGAATAGATTGCATAATGGAGGAGCAGGTGTAGGGAAGCGTTATGTGAGGAATAGATTGCATAATGGAGGAGCAGGTGTAGGGAAGCGTTATGTGAGGAATAGATTGCATAATGGAGGAGCAGGTGTAGGGAAGAGTTATGTGAGGAATAGATTGCATAATGGAGGAGCAGGGGTAGGGAAGAGTTTTGTGAGGAATAGATTGCATAATGGAGGAGCAGGTGTAGGGAAGCGTTATGTGAGGAATAGATTGCATAATGGAGGAGCAGGTGTAGGGAAGAGTTATGTGAGGAATAGATTGCATAGTAGAGGAGCAGGTGTAGGGAAGAGTTATGTGAGGAATAGATTGCATAGTAGAGGAGCAGGTGTAGGGAGGAGTAATGTGAGGAATAGATTGCATAATAGAGGAGCAGGTGTAGGGAAGCGTTATGTGAGGAATAGATTGCATAGTAGAGGAGCAGGTGTAGGGAAGAGTTATGTGAGGAATAGATTGCATAGTGGAGGAGCCGGTGTAGGGAAGAGTTATGTGAGGAATAGATTGCATAGTGGAGGAGCCGGTGTAGGGAAGAGTTATGTGAGGAATAGATTGCATAATGGAGGAGCAGGTGTAGGGAAGAGTTATGTGAGGAATAGATTGCATAGTAGAGGAGCCGGTGTAGGGAAGAGTTATGTGGGGACTAGATTGCATAGTGGAGGAGCAGGTGTAGGGAAGAGTTATGTGAGGAATAGATTGCATAATGGAGGAGCAGGTGTAGGGAAGAGTTATGTGAGGACTAGATTGCATAGTGGAGGAGCAGGTGTAGGGAAGAGTTATGTGAGGACTAGATTGCATAATGGAGGAGCAGGCGTAGGGAAAATTTATGTGAGGAATAGATTGCATAGTGGAGGAGCAGGTGAAGGGAAGAGTTATGCGAGGAATAGATTGCATAGTGGAGGAGCAGGTGTAGGGAAGAGTTATGTGAGGAATAGATTGCATAATGGAGGATCAGGTGTAGGGAAGAGTTATGTGAGGAATAGATTGCATAGTGGAGGAGCAGGTGTAGGGAAGAGTTATGTGAGGAATAGATTGCATAGTGGAGGAGCAGGTGTAGGGAAGAACATCTTTTCACCATTAATGACAAAGAAGATGATTACAGTGTTTATGTAATCCACAGATCTAATGGTCCTGCGCGTGTATTAAGAGATAAAGACATACCAACTGGTTTCGCATCCTCTCTATGAAAGCCAACACATTGAATACTTTCCAAAACAACAGAGAAGAGCACACAAAACTGTTGAGCAATGATCTAGAAGCAGCTGAGATTATCTGTTATAAAATCACAGTCAATTTAAAAACATTAGATGGACTAATAAATGGTGCATTAAAAATAGAATTACCAGAGTTGTTAGAAAATGCATCTGGTTTACTTTGGGTAAAATTTGGTGAACCAACAGCTACATACAGAGAATAAACGATTGTACAGACTGGATCCCTATAACTGAAAGTTTTTTTTTATCACGCAGAAAAGGTCAGGCACTGAATCATTATCTGATATACATATGGCATATTATCTAGACATTTTTCGAGGTAAATCGGTCAACTGATTGAAGTTTTTGAGTTCCTCAAAACTACTCTCGATATTTTTTGAGTTCCTCCAAGCTGCTAATGACATTCTTCGAGTGACCCAGGCTGCTCCAATTGCTTGATGAATTGCTCAGAGTTTTTCTAATGCCAGGCAATGACATCCTAGCAACCGCGTGACAAGAAATCACTATACTGAACCGGAAGTTATGGCATCAACCTGGTGAGAAGATCTGACATTAGATCTGGAACTTATGTCATTTTTAATCATGTGACCGGACCTTTCAAAGGATTGTCATGATTTGAAAGATTCCATAGTTTGTGTTTACAATGTGGTAAAATCTTAAAAGAGTGCATGCCACAAAAGACAATGGGATAGAGATTGAAACTAATGATTGACATAAGATGCATCCGTAATAAAGTCAGCATCGGATTCAGAAATAGAGAACAAAAAGACAATATATCCGAAACTACTGACCCGTTAGTACAGAAAACATTCGAACTTCATTTTATAAAAATTAAAAAAAACTTGTTGACAACCTAGTTTTAAATGGTTATGACCGAACTCAAGCACAGCCTTTGGCGTCTTATACCATGAAAACAACTTACATACAAGAGCTTAGAAACAAATATTTATTATTATTTCGATACAAAAGAAGACGGCCAGAGGCCAGAGATTCATTCCACAGAAAAATCAATGCAAGGTTTCTAAAGGATGAGAAGGATTGGGAGCCAATAAAATCATGGAAATAAATCACACAGGCTCAGAAAACATTTGATGGATGACATTATACAAGACGATACAAAACGATGACATCACGGAACCATCCCTGGCTACACCTCTTGAATAAAACGTGAAAGCCACATTCTATACTCCTGATATACTGTACAATTTTCTTTTAAGGTACATTATCAGTCATTTTCCACACTTTTTATACTAGATGGTAAAAAATTCCTTAATATGGTGCATGTATACTAGTAATTAAAATGTTCTATATATTTAATTCAATGGTATAAGAGAAAATAAGTTTTCATTATATGACGACCTAAAAGAATATTTGGTAAAACTAGTTGTAATGATGTTACATAAATATGGAGGTGCATTATTCTTAATAGACTGAAACATTTAACTTCTTTGTTATATTATTTTCTACTGTGTATAGTTAACCAGACTAGTTTTCGAAAATGCAGTATGGATGGTAAATTGTGTTAAGCATTAAGAAGAATGCTTGAGGTGCGCTTTTCTGAATTTGTAACCAGACATGATAATGTTGAAAGCGCTATATATATTTACTTTAAGAATATCGAATGCAATGAAGTATTTAGTACTAAATGTAAAATTGCAAAAGCTAGTAATATTTTTTGTTTTGTTTTTACGGTAGTAATAGAGGAGGTTGCGTAGATCTGTTGATATTATTTTAAACTCATCATTACATATGCCCGCGCTATAGTTATACATGGAAATGCGATCGAAACGGGTGTATTTTTAAAAGCCTTTTACAACAGCAGGAAAAAAGGGAGGCAAAAGATACCAAAGGGAGATTCACACTCATAAGTCAAATATAAACTGAAAACGCCATGGCAAAAAAAAAACATGGTTATTTTTATATGTTAAACATTCAAAGATAAAGACACATTTAATGTATATTCTGGTCAGTTTTAAGGTTGTTGCTCGATGTGAAAAGTTGTTTACATGACTGTTCAGCCAAAATCAGTTAAATGGAACCAATAGCACATAAACGAGTCCAGCACATATCATTGATGCTTTAGATCAAATTAAAACTAGATGGTCTAACAACGGCGTGTATTCTTATAAAATAAAAAAAAATAACAATAAAGTCCTCAAATTATTTGATATTCTGATGACAGACTAAAAAGTTATGATATTTTGAAGTTTGAAAGCAAAGTCAAAACGCTGTGTCCAAAAGCGTTTTCAAAAAAGGACATTGCATTTACGAAGCAAAATATGATCGATAACCGTACAATTTGCGCGCTGTTTACCTTTCTACAGTTACAGAATCAGATAAAAATAGCAAGGTACGTGTATAAGTTAAAATTCCATACAATTTTGTTTTTAATCGAATGTCCAGTCATTTCATGTGAATTACGTTACGGACATGTAGAATTCATGTCTACCATCTAATATTGCCGAGATCATTAGTCTAAAAAGAAAGAAATAATAGCCATATAACCTTTTTAAAACAGGTGTATCATTTAATTTGTAATATAGATATGTGTCTATATATAAACAAACTTATATGAACATTTTTTTTTTATTTATTTAAGAATGTGAACTACGTTACGCCAATATTTTATAATAAGGTATTCACAACACATAAAACGAACCCAGTATTTTAACAATACCATAAGCCTAATAAAAAATATGTATAGTTGACATTGTTCAAGGCAATTATTCATGGTAAAAATCTTGTTCCATCATAAAATGTGAAATACGTGATGTGAACTTCGTTACCATAGCAAAACTAAATCTTTCTTTTAACCTTTTGTTTGGTGCAAAAATCTTTCCTTTATTCATTTTTCACAACCGGAAACTATAGCAGACGAATTTTGTGCTTTGGGGAAATGCAAAAACACACAATTAAACAAAAGTGTATGAACTTTCTGTGGTAGGTAAATATTAAAATTGACATAAACAAGTCATAATTTTGACATAAAAGATTAAAACCCTATTATAGTGGATAAAAAATATGTCGAGCTTACATGCATTAAAAATCAAAGCACTGAAAGTATTGTAAGGTGAGGGTTCATATTCATTTAGCAAGAAAACGTAATTCACACTTGATATAACGTAATTCACATAAAATAAGTAAGGATATTCAGCGATTTTATTTATGAGATAATGTTATTGTTATGAATCGGGAGTATCGAAATAAAAGAAACAACGGTTTTGCTATCCCCATGCATTGAAAACACATTTGTTTACACACAATGATTACGAAAAGAGTGTGCATATGCAAGTCCTATTCAATGGCGGATACTTTCAATTTATTACACCTTATTCCTTCATGATATAGCTGGAATATTGCTCACTTCAAGTTAAATATCATATGCATACATACATACATATACAATACAGTACATACGTGATATGAAAATATGTGCATGTTTTTTTTTATACATTTAAGATAAGTTTTTCATGAGTAATTATTGGTAAGATATAGACAGAAAAGAACTACATGTACAATATATATATTTTTCCTTTTAGATTTGCTTGAAATGGGGAAAAGCAGAGCCGAAATCCAAAAAGCCTACAGAGATCGCAAAAAGGAAAAGGATGGAAATGAGTATCTTCAGAAAGAGAGAGAAAGAGTTAAACGTTATTACGTTGATACATCAGCCCTATCAAAGAAAAAACTAGAACAGAGAAGGACGAAAATACGACAGTGCATGGCAAAAAAGAGAGCTAAAGATAGAGTCCCACAAAATGACAAAGACGAAGTACCGGAGTGCTCAACAAGATCTAACACACAACAACAACAACAACAACAACAACCTCCATTGCAACAACAACAACAACAACAACCTCCTCCATTGCTAGTTAAGCTGAATTTTCCATTGAAATCAAAAAACAAAATTCAGACGAGAAAGAGAACAAGTCGAGCAGTTGCCAAAGCTAATTATAAAATAAATAAAATGACACAGAAAGTTCAAGAGTTGAAAAGACGCAACTGGACGATTACAAAAAGATTACAAAGAAGAATGGCAAGAGAAAATAAAGATAATAAGAAAAATCTGGAACAACCAATTTCAAGCCCTATGCGTAAAGCAAATAAAGATTTAAGAGAAGCTAATCTTTCTCCGACTAAATATCCGGAGCTTCAAAAGAAACTTACGTATCACAACTGCCTTATATCAGAAATTAAAGAATCAGTAAGCCACGAGAAAAACAAATTCCCTGTTCTACAAGTTATAACAGGAAAGGCCATACGAGATCATAAATGCATTAGAAGGCTAAGTTATGACATAAAGGTAAACCGAAAACAGCTGATGAAAATAAAATCAAAAAGAGAGAAGGAAAAAAAGAAAACCCGCATGAAGGCTGCAAGAGAAGATCTTCGTTCAAAAGTAATAGCCTTTCTCGAAAGGGACGATAACAGTACTTGTCTCCCGGGTAAACGAGACAATAAAAAAGACGGAAAAGAGAAAAAGCAAAAAAGAGTGTTAAATGACTATTTAGACAATCTACATCAGAAATTTTTGTCCGAGAATGTACTGACAAAATTAAGTGTTTCTGTATTCAGACGTTTTCGGCCAGCATATTATGTATTAGCATCTTTTGGAAACAGGAGAACGTGCCTTTGTCAGCGCCATCAAAATATGGCATTAAAAGTCAGAACATTGAAAGCACTAAATATTACTACTACATCAAATCCAGATCAACTAATAAGGCAGATGACAGATGATGAAGTTTTAGCGAAAATATCTCAGTTGGAAGATGAGAAAATAAAATACTCTGAATGGAAAAGGGTTGATGTAGAGGAGAAGGGAATGATGAAAAAAAGAATGAATGTTGTGCAATGTGAGGCAGCTAGACAGGAATTCGGCACACTGATCAGAACATCGTT